TCTTCTTAAAGATATCTACAGAAATAAACATGCCTAAATATGATTTCTCAAGCATTATTGGAAGTCCATTGATCACTTGTAGAATTGTCCAGGCATAAAGAACGAAGACTTGGCCTATATTCTGCATGTTCCTGAAGGTCCAAGTTAGGATGCCATTCTCTTTTCCTTTTCTAAATTAAATGACCCAGCTTTTCCTCAGTCTTTCCTTGTAGGAATTCTCTCTGTTCTTTGATCACAATTTGCTAGTCTTCCCCCCAGTTTCTTTAACCTGTTTGTAGTAATTAAGCAGCAGAACTAAAATATCTCCAGGATTCTATTGTACTAACATATTTCATATTTTGAAGTATTTATTATACTACTATATTAATATATTTATAGTTAAAATCTCTCTAGAAGAATCTAATTGTTGCTAGAGTATAGCTTATACTTCTTATTGTTGTTGAGTACCATCAAGTCAGAACCGACTTACAGCTAACCCTCTTGTGAGTTCTCAGAGGCAGTCAATTGCACGGGAGGAGACTGTCCAATCTTCTTCCACAGAACAGCTGGTGGATTCAAACCACATGCCTTTGGTATTGCAGTGCAGTTGCTTATCACTAGGCCACCAGAGATGTCAAATAATCAGCTTTGACTAATAGTTACCCTACAGACAGCAGCACGTAACACTGCCGGGTCCTGTGTTATCCTTACAATACTACACTCACTGCTGCTGCATTACACTGTTGTTGTTATGTGTTGTTGAGTCAGAACAACTCCTAGCTGACCCTGTAGCGAGTTTTCAGAGGCTGTAAATCACACTGGAGGAGACCGTCATCTTTCTCCCACCAAGCAACTGGTGGATTCAAACTGCCTGCTTTTCGGCTTGCAGTGCAACTCCTTATCACTAAGCCGCCACGGCTCCCCTGTGCTTGTATCAATGGGAACAAACCTAAAAGGCTACCGATTAGAGTTTTGCTCCAAATGAAGATAGTTTTCTTCAGCATTTCTGGTACTTTCTGGAATTTCTATACAATGATCCAATTCCTATCATATGGGGATCCAAGTCTGATGCCCAAGTCACTCACATTTTCTCTTGTATTTTTTTTTCCTCTCCCTCAGAATTCTTGAGTTTTTGCTTGTTTTTTTTTTTATTCCTCATTATTTTATTAATTTGCCCTTCTTTAATTTCCCTCACATTGGTCAGTACATCCTTGCAGTTTTCAATTCGACAATCATGTTTCTGGATGGGTGACTTACTAGCCCCCATTCTTCACTCCTCCCTGTATCTGTGTCCTTTGCTACTTAACTCTGGAGCTCCTTCCACCAGTAGTTCAGTGTGTTTCTTCCTTCTGATTTTGCAATGGAATTTATTTGGGGCAAAGGTCTTTGGACAGTTCTAAGCCTAGACCTCATTTCTGCTTAGCCAGTTTGTATATCCATCATTTCTCTAAAAAAGAAAATCTCTTGGCTAGGTCCTTAATCCAGGAAGATTAAGAGGAAACTCAACCCAATCTATAGCTTAGAGCCACTCAATCCAAGCTCAGCTAAAATTAGCAGAGTCATCCCAGCTAGTCCTCATCCACTATGCAACACTGTAGGATGCCTATGTTTAGAAGACGTCTTTCGAGCTATTTAAGTGACATTCTAGACTATAGGAAATGCGTTTGTTTGGCTGAGTACAATTTAGAGGAGGAGGGAAGTGGTGTTTTCCTCCCCATGGGACTGATGCTTAAAGATGCTAAACATCCTGGGAAAGAAGACGAGAGTATGATGAAGAGAAACAGAAACTGACTTTAAAGTAAGTAGAGACTCAGTCCCTTGGGAGGCCATGGGGGAAAAAGTATGCTTTCAGCAGCTCTGTTCCCACAGAAGGCAGATCCAAGGAACACATCCTGTCCTTAAGCAAAATGGTCAAAGCCCAGCAAAGCCATGCCCAGGGCAGAAAGAAATGTGCCCTGAAACCCAGGTTTGTATTCTCCTACCATTTTAGGCTATTAGGACGCTTTCTTCTGGCATAAGTAACTGTCCTTTAAAAGGCCTCAAAAAGAATCCTTGTATACATTTAGGAAGTTCTTTAGTCTACTCTCTCACAAGATAGAAAAAAGATGTTCCTTCTTTTTCTGAGTATGTACAACTAAACTATAACCCAGCACCTCAGCGACAGGCTCTGTAGCCAAAACTGGGTCTCAATTCAAGACTCTTCTGTTAGGTTTACAGCTGGTTTTGTTATGTCTTGTCCAGTCAGAACTGATTCATAGCTGACCCCTCAGAGTTTTCAGAGGCTGTAAACTGCATGAGAGGAGACTGCCCATCTTTCTTCTGCAGAGCTGGTAGATTGGAACCTGCCTTCAGGGCAGTGGCACAGCTCCGTACCACGAGGCCATCAGAGCTCTGGATTTGCAATAGACCCCCTTACCCGTGGTTTCACTCTGCATGATTTTAGTTCTCTTCAGCCAACCACACTCCAAAAATATTTAAATTCTGCACCATTCTGAACAGTGTTATGTAATCTCACATCTTCCCACTCCATGCTGGAGCAGACTTCCTCCTCCACCATGGGGCATGGGGCTGGAAAACACACTTCGTAAGGAGCTGAGTCACATACATCATGCCTGAGCAGACAGCTCAAAGCTATCCACCAGGGCACCTTGGGTACCTACTGTATAAGCAGTGGAAAAAAGCATGTATTGTGCTTTGATATGATCCAAAAGTATGTCTGGTTTTTGACAGTATCCATGATTTCAGGCATGCACTGGAGAACAGTAGAACCTTCTACAGATAAGGAGGCCTAGGTAATGTCTTATCTCACACATGAATTACCATTTCTCAGGTGACAATAACAACATATTTGTATTTGAGTCAAGATAAGGCTGACAATTTGACTGGAAAACTCTTTTCTAATGCCATTTAAGAAAGATCATTTAACTAATTTCCTTCTCTTTTCCACATCTTTGCTGCCTTCTGTTTGTAGCAGCTATTGGGTGAAGTGAACACACATATTAGGCTCAGTGAGAAGATACATTCAGTTTTTATAAAAATCATTTTTCAGTTGAGCTATCTGCAACAGTAGGGACACTGTCTCCATCTACATCAAGCCCACCCCAACGGGGCCCTGGAATTGCCACACTTGTTCCTTCACTCCTGCCTGGAAAGCCTCAGTAGTTCAACACTGTCCTACATTGAATGTAAACTGCAGTTCCTGCATGAACAGACTGCTCAGTCCACTTGGTTTCAAGGATTCTGCCAAGTGGGGTTAGAGGTGAATGCCCTAGGTCTCCTCTGCAAGTCAGTGGTCTCCAGAAACATCTGTCATAAGAAAGGAATAGTCTCAACCATCACCACAGTTGAGAGCAGTCAGGCATTGCCATTTTGAGCCCGAAACACATATTGTCTATAAAATCATGTTCCAAAACTGCCTTCTCCTCTCCCATTGATTGTTTCAACAACTCCAGAAATTGTTTCAACGTCTCCAGAAATCCTTGGCTCCATCTCCAACCTAACACACAGCCAGTGGAGCCACTTATGAGAAGAAACCTCTGAGGCTTGGGATTCAGGACTCCATCCTGACGCCTCACCCTCTGTCTTCTAGGCTTAGAACAGGAAGTCCTTTTCTTCCTTTCTGGGACCCTGGAAGTACCTGTTCTCACATGTGTGACTCCAGTGTTTGCAGGTAGTTTTCTCCTTTCTGTGTCTCACATACATGTATTTACATGTATAAGTGACTGATAATAGTGCAGTCTTTACCCATTGTGTTTTAAAAATGTGCTGGTTGTGTCTGTATGTTTATGGATACACACTCTCACATATGTGCATTACACATGTGTGCTTAGATATTTATACCTATGCAAATGCACGTGTGCATGTACACACACACACACACACACTTTTTACTGGCCAGTTTCTTCCCTAAGTAAAGTTTCACCAAGTTGCCCTGAAAAGGCCATTAGGACGAAAGTAAAACAAGGATAGGTGCTTGAGTGGTGTTGCCTGTAGCATGTTTTGTTGCTAACCAAAAGTCTATGCTTCCCCATCAGTTCAAACCCACCATTTCCTTAAGGTTTACAGTCCTGGAAACCTGATGAAGGGTCCTGATGAGTCAGAATAGACTTGAAGAGACAGTTTGATTTTTTTTTTTAAAGGAAGGATGTGAAGTGAAGTACATCTTTGGGATTCACTCCTTTTCTCGTTGGCATTTCTACTGGAAGTTCCCTAGTTTCCTTCAGAGTTCTTATTCACTCTTGGGAAGAGATGACCATTAGCCATTTCCCTTTCTATCTTAAAAGAGCTCGTAACCATAAGAGAAAGAGCTGGAGCTCCAAAGATGAGTTCCAGGCAGGACTTGGTGGGGAGAGTGGAGGAAGAGACTGGTGCGAAGGGGCATCTCTCCTCTGGTTCCACTCTGGCTGGGTGGGCTAGAACTCATGATGACTAGAGTTCCCGAGAGGAAATTCTCTGAGTATGGTCAGCTACTAGCCACACAGAGGCCATATCTCCCACACTCAACTGTTCAGAACCTGGCTGAGAATTAGAAGGGAAACAAAAAGTCCATGGGCAGTTAGTCAAGCAGTTAATGTCTGGAGCACAGCATTCCACAAGAATAGCTTCTCTTCTTCGGCTCTCATACCAGTACTTCTAGGTTCTTCATTTCAATCCCAAGTCCCTTGAGTACAGTTTTCCCACCTCAGTATAGACCAGATGCCTAAAATTAAAGAGAACATCTACTATAGGAGCAACAATAGCTAACAGCCTACAGAAGACAAAAGCCGATGTAAGAACTCAGAAAGAGGCAGTGACTGAAGGAGCAAGCTGCTTACACACCCGTTTGCTCATGGCAATGGAAGGAGGCTGGATCACAGACCAATGCAATGATTGGCATGACTCTGGGTTGTCTAAAAAAAAGTTTCAATTCTGTTCTATATGCTATTTAAAGTACAGGGGAAAGGTGCTGTGAGGAAACAGTGAGAAAGGAGAGGACAGAAGAGGTTACTCAAATGTCACACTACAACAGGGGCCCCACCTACCTCTGAATGTTGTCTTCAAGCTGCTTGACTTTGATCTCATCCTCCTCAGATTGCCGCCTCCTGGCCTCCTCCTCTTCGGCAGTTCCTGCAGGCATACCTTGCAGCAACCATTTTTCCCGAAGCAATTTGGACTGTGAGAAAGAGAACAGACAAGATAAAGTTTGTCAATCCTCACCTGCCTCTCTCCACAAAGCAGTGCACTGTTTCAGCCCCACCCTTCACAGACGCTTCCCTGGGTATTGACTACCATACTTTCTTTCCTGTCTTGGTTCCATATTTCCCTCCAGCCCAAACCCCAGTAGGATATATCTAAGTGCTGCTGATTCAAAGCTCACACTTCTCTTGGAAGTTTGAATCTATCAGTAGCTCCAAGGGAAAAATATGATTAATCACTGTCCACACAGTTTACAGCCTCAGAAAGTCAATGGGAGCTCAGGTATGAGTCAGTCCCAACTCCATGGCAATGAATGACATTTTTAATTATTACAAAATTAGAATATATGAGTAGGAGCAGAGAGGTGAGGGTGGGCAGAGGGCACTCATAAGGTCGCACAATTTGATGGGTAGAAGGAGGAGTGGGTAAAGGAAATAGGAAAGATCCAGGGTGAAAAACAATGCAAATAGACTTTGTAAGTAAATCAGTATAAAAGAAAAACTGTATTTAAAAAAATAATTAGAATATACAGAAAAAAGGGAACTGCAAAATTAATGTCCATAGGACCTCAAGTTTAACAATTATTAATATTTTGCCACATTTTCCATCTAAACTTTCCCACTGTATTATTTTAAAGTAAACAGTAAAAACTGTGCTATTTTGCCCATAAGTAGTTCAGTCTATTTCTCTAAAAAAATAAGGATCCCCTCATGTAAAACTATAGTTCATTTATAAAATTGAAGATCACATAGTATTAAAGTTCATATTAAAGCATTTAAAAATATTAAACTATGTCATGCCTCCTCTTAAAGACTTTTTATGGTTTCCAACTGTCTTCAGTAGTGATTTCCAAGTCCTTTCAAAATTACACACATGTGCCAGTGTACCAGTCTATTTTGAAAGAACAAATAATTTCTGGGTTTCAAGTCACTGGAGAAGATGAAGCAGCATGACTACTGCTTTGTGAAGGGAGAGAAAAACAGTGCAAGAGGAAGGATCGTAGAAACTCCCTAAGAGCAAAGCCACTGCGGGAAGGAGGATGTGGGTACTTGCAGGTGCGTGTGTGTGTGCGCGTGCATGGCACTTGGGAGGTGTCAAAGAGGAGGTTTTTATTTGGGTTTCCACTATACATGGCCTCTAGATGGCAGACAGTAGCTACTGGATGTTTGTTGAAACTGAAGCCTACGGACAGGCCAATGGCCATTCTTGGTAAAAGGGCTCTGTGAGGAAGCACACAGCTGGCCAAGAGCTGTGGACCTCAGCAATTCTTCCCGTGGGTGACTGAAGAAAGGAGTGCTGAATATCCACAAAGTGCCAAAAGAACAAATCTGTCCTGGAGGAAGTTTAACCAGGGTGCTCCTTAGAAGCAAGGATGGTGAGACTTTCTCTCACCTACTTTTGGCATGTTGTCAGGAGGGGTCAATCACTTGGAAAAGTCATCATTCTTGGAAAGATAGAGGGTCGGAGAAACAGGAAAACTCTCAATCAGATGGATCAACACAGCGAGTTCACTGTGGGTCCAAGCATATCAGAGATGGTGAGGATGGTACAGGATAGGACAAGATTCAAATCTACCTCTAATATCGGGGACCAAAACGCTTCTTCTTCTTCTTCTTTTTTTAAAATCTATTATTAATTTCAATGAAAAGTTACAGAGACTTTGGATTTCCATTCATTCATTGTTGCACTTTTCTCCAAGTAAAAGAAAAATTCTTTTATTGTTTTTACAAACCCTCCCCCAGGTCCACTCCACTATGCAGTCTTCACTCTGGACTCCTGTCATAACAAAAATACCTAACTACATATCCCCTTTAAATAGTTTTCTCCCTCATCTGTTTCAATGCAGTATACATTATTGAACCCATCTTTCTCAGTCTCCTCCCGACCCCAAGGTCAGTCCTGTTTTACAACAATGGCACCATGCAGCATTTGTCCTTTTGTGACTGAGATACTTCACTCAGCATAATGTCCTCCAGAGTCACCCATTTTGAATAACATTGCATGAGTTCCTTGTTTTTCAATGCAGCATAATATTCCATTGTGTGACTATACGACAGCTTCTCTATCCATTCATTGATGGGCACTTAGGTTGTTTCCAGCTCCTTGTTATTATGAACAAAGCTGCAATAAACATGGGTGTGCATATATCTGCTTGGATGTCAGTTATGGTCTCTTTGGGGTATATTCCTAGTAGTGGAATTGCTGGGTCAAATGGTATCTTTATTTGCAACTTTTTGAGAAAGCATTACACCGCCTTCCACAGTGGTTACACCATTTTACACTCCCACCAACAGTGAATCAGGGTTCCAGTTTCTCCACAACCTCGCCAGCATTTGTGGCTTGCTGTTCTGTTAAATTTTGCTATTCTGACTGGGGTGAGATGACTATCTCATAGTGGTTTTAATTTGCATCTCTCTTAGAGCTAGGGATTTTGAACATTTCTTCATGTGCTTGTTGGCCATCTGAATGTCTTCTTTGGTGAAGGGTCTATTCATATCCTGTGCTCATTTTTGTATTGGATGATTTACCTTTATCTTGTTGTGGTGCTCAAGTATTTTATAAATTCTGGATATAAGTCCCTTATCTGATATGTCATTACCAAATACTTTTCCCCCCAGTCTGTGGCTTCTCTTTTTACCCTGTTGGAGAAGTTTTTGGATATGCATAGGGATTTGATTCTTAGAAAATCCCATTCATCTATTTTCTCTTCTCCTGGTTGTAGGCAAAACACTTCACACTGAAGAGTTCTTTAGCTCTTATGAATGAAGGATGCACCAATTCTATTGTGTTATTAAGCGGTGCTGAGTTGATCCTATCTATGTGCACTATAGTTGGAAAGCTTGTCCAAGCTGCACTGCAATCCCAAAGGCACACAGTTTAAGTCTACCAGTTGCCTCACAGGAGAAAGATGGGCAATCTCCTCCCATGCAGTTAACTGCCTCTGAAAACCCACTTGAGGGTCAGCTATGAGTCAGTTCCGACTCTATAGTACATAATAGCAACGACATGTACCATAGTACATTTTTAACTTGAACCTACAAAGCCAGCAAAAGAGCTCTGATGGCATAGTCCATAGGGAGGTGCACTAACCCAAGGGTCATGCCTCTCTGGTGGTTTATATCCATCAGATTTGAACTCTGAGGGCAAAAGATATGCAATCTCCTCTTGCGTAATCTACAGCTTCAGAAATCCAGCAGAGTCATTTATGATTTGGTTCCAACTCAATGGCAATGAGTTACAAAACAAGTTATTCAAAATTTTCAGCAGCACAGGAAAGGAATATCCTGGGTGAGATGGATTGACTCAGTAACCAGGATAATGGAGGTAGGTGTGTCGGGGACAGTGAAATTGGCTCAGGATAGAGTATGGTTCAGAGATACAGTCCATAGGGTTGCTATGAGTCACAGGTGACACTATGGCACATATAAACAACAGTTATAATAAGAATATGGTAATGTATATGATTCCCTACCCTAATGAGACCAGAAGCTAGCCAGCACTGCAGATACCCTGGTGAATACACAGACACAAGCTCTAATAATGAATTCCTTCATTACCAGGAAGGAGCCTTTGTTAACAATGTGTCATCAATGTGATATTCATGTAGCAATAGTTTTCTTTGGCATTATTTTTCATTTTTAATGGTATATAATTGCTTGTACAGCTATGTTTGATCATTATTAAAGAGCAGAGATGCTTATTTATAGTACTTGACTTATGATTTCAAAGACATGAGCGTATTCATATAAAAGCAATCACCAACTACACTGCTAAAGTGTGTGTAGACCTGAACCCCACTACCCTCTGGATCCCAACATGTTCATATTATACATCATAGGTCTGTGACACAGACATGTAAATATGTTCTCTATACATCCTTACCACGCTCAAAGCAAATGTAAAATATGAGGGGTTTTTAAGCATACAATATATATTTTATAAAATAAAATTAGGTAATGAAGCGCTCCCTACAATTCTTTATATTGGATTATAAAAATTCCTTTTCATCAAAAAAATGGGAATGGATAGGATCTGGCTGTTCTTCCTAAGTGGGCTACAGAAGAAGGGGAAAACCCCACCCAACTATAGCTTTACTCTCAAGCCAGCAGAATGTTCCAAGCCTTCAAGCTGGCACACTGCCAGCAGTGGAATTGAACAAGCCTTAAGAAGGTGGCCTGTGGAGCCGGCCTGAATGAGTGTTGTTTCTATGCCTTCCATTCATTATCTCTGTGACCTCTGACTGGCTCCTTAATCTCCTGGAGCCTCCCTAAACTCTTTTGTACAATGGATACCACTGGATGCCTATCTCACTCAGGTCATCAGCGGCTTAACTGAGTTCATATACTAGAGGTACCTGGCATCTACTTGATACCACTGAAATGTTTATTATCATTGTTTTGTTTTTCTTCTGTTTCCTCGGCTTCTCCTCCTTTCATCTGAGGACGGATAGGTGGAATGAGAGCTGAGCAACCTTCCTCCATCCTCTAGAAAGCTTCTTTACTGATCAGTAGCTCCTTGCTAGCCTGTTTCTCATAACAAAGACATTCTCTATAGCACACTTCACAACACTCTAGAATTACTTCTTTTTTCATCTGTCCACCTCCCCTCCCTTTGTCTAGACTACTAGCTCCTCCAGGGCCTGGACTTTATTTTACTTATCTTTGCATGCAGACCCTAGCCTCATTCTAGAAAGAACCTGAGTGGATGAATTGAGGACTTTCATATTTCTTGTCACCTTACTAACCTGTGTGAGGTAAGTGGGGCCACATTTTCAGGGGTTTCCTGAGCTAAAATTATGGTATTAATCTGATTCAAGCCAAAGAAGGGAAAATAACACAACAAGAAACCTTCTTAAGGAGAACTGGAGACATACTACCTAAGAATCACAGCGTCGGTGTGTGGCCCTTCTGGAAAGGCAGCCATAGAGACCTGACCATCTCCGTGGCCCTGGCAGGCACATTCCACAGCCAGATTCTT